CCGTGCTAGTGTCTGGGAGAAACTTAAGATGCCACACTTTGTCTAGAAAAACCTCTGGAACACATTATATTGTTGTCTTCTGGTTCATGATACTTGTTCCAGTCAATACTTAATATCAGTCGACATAGACTGATAGCTAAATTTTAGACACGATCCGTCGGTCTCAGCAGCTTACTTAGCATACAAGGGACTCCAAGTATATTGTCATATTGCTCTCAATGGAAGCAGATGTGATGAGCAATACTACGCCTCACGGACTGATGATGACACATTTTTCGACATTTTGTAGACAAGGTGGGCCATTTAAAGTGGAAGCATCAAGCAACCCTGTATCTTTGACATTAGTTGTCAGATCGACTAATGTCATACCGCGTCGGAAGCATCATCTCAGTACAATGTTAACCATGGAACAGTACTCACCAAAACAACGCGCTGAAATTCTTCAGTTGTACATTCAAAATAACTTCTCAATAGTGAAAACTAAACGTACGCTTCGTAAAAAAATTAAGTTAAAGGTGCTCCAGCTGATAACACTATCAGACGTTTATACGCAAAATTTGTGAACACCGGTAGTCTTAGTAATGCCAGTTACCTATCCAGACAACGAACAAAACCTTCCGATGAAAATATCGAAGCCGTACAAGCCAGTGTTGAAGAGACTCCATCAACATCCGGTCGACATCGTTCTCAAGAGTTAGGCATCGCTCGAACCACTCTCCGACGAAGAATTCGTAAGGATTTGAAGATGTTCCCATTCAAAATTCAAATGGCTCATCAATTAAATCCAGCTGATTATCCGTGTCGCTTTAATTTTGATAAATAGAGCATTGAAATGGCCGAAAATGAAGATGACTTTTGTCGAAAAGTCATCATGTCCGGCGAGGCACATTTTTCGTTACATGGAGGCTTAAGTAAACAAAATTGTGGATTTTATGTTACTAAAAACCCTCAATTAATCGAACAACAGCCTCTTTAGGACCAAAAAGTTACTGTTTGGTGCGGTATGTACACGATTATGGTCATCGGGCCGTATTTTTTTGAAGACGATGATGGAGCTGCGGTAACCGCCAATGGTGAGCGTTATCGAGCCATGATAACAAATTTTTTGAGGCTAATTGTTTGTGAAAATGACACCGATCACTACTGGTTCCAGCACATGCCACACAGCTCAAGCAACAATCAATTTATTGCGACCGCTGTTCGCTGGACGACTGATATCGAAAAATGTCGATTTTGACTGGCCACCGACATCACCCGATTTGACGCCACCAGACATTTATTTGTGGGGCTATTTGACATCCAAGGTATACGCTAGCAAGCCAAGTACTCTAGTTGCCCTCAAGAACAATATTCGTCAATAAATTGCCGCCATATCCGCCGAAACATTGGCCAACGTGATGGAAAACGCCGAAATGGGCACATTTGGTTATCAAGGTCACAGGTGGCCATTTGCGCGATATCATTTTTGAAAAGTAATCGCGACAAATCTCCCTGGACCATATAAAAGGCTTTTCAAATGAACAACGAAAAAATTTTGTTTAATCTATTTTTTGATAAACAAGTGCCTCTACTTTAAAGGGCCCACCCTATAGTTATAGTCACCTTTCTTGGAGGTTACGTCATCAACGCTATATGAAACAAGTAATTTCTCCGTACCATGGGCGGATCTCAATTTTCCTAGCCGAGGGAGACCGATTCAAAATTATTTACTAACTTTAATTCTAAAAAACCTTCTGTCTGGTAGGAAAAACTGCAAGCTTTCAATAGACGCCTTAAACTTGAATCCGAGGCGTTGTATATGTACCTTTTGTAACCTCCTGATTGAGCGCAGAGGTCGTGATATGTTGTCCTTTACTTTTAATATCGTAGAACGTATTCCTAATTTCTGTTTTGATGGTATCACTCACATCATCGGTCATGTATTTTTTGATTTTGTGAGTTTTTCTAGGTGTAACTATGGGCAAACCTTTCTTATTTTCTGATTTTATTCGCTGAACACTGCGCAGACCAATCTTCAGTGCATCTGGTACTCTCTCCAGTACGCAAGTAGTGGGTAACAGGGGACCTCTGTTTTCATTATCTTCCTGGAAACGCTCTAATAAATTCAACATGAACTGTCGGCCTTCTCCCTTGATCGTATTTCCGGGAATTGTACCATTTTATATTGAAGACTGATAACAGGACAGTTCAAATTGCACGCCGATGTCAAGTAGCTTCTCACTCTGACCAATATATTTGAAAAGCACTCATACGTCATGACAAAGTTTTAGAGACGGAGACACACGACTAAATAAATAATAGTAGTTTAAAAAAAGATAATAAAAACACGCTTTTATAACTAACCGACCTAAAAAGTAGAAAGTAATATTTACTTAGAGAGAGTTTATATTACTGTAGTAGATGGTCGAGCAATCGATTGACTGTTTTTTTTAAACTATTATCTATTTTTCATGTTTGTACCTACGCATCTATAAGGAATAAACATGGTGAGAATGCACTTCCTTGAAAAAGTATCTGCCTCCGTTGTGCTGCGCCCAGTGCCCGATCCAAGAGTATGTCTCTTACTCCCCTACAGAGGATCTATAGAAGAACTCCTGGCGGTTCTAATAAGGATAATGGAAAGTTGTTATCAAATTATTGCATTGTCATCGGACCTGTATACGTGAACGAAGTTTCAAATTAATCAAACTTCTGGAAATTGGTAAAAATTATACTCAAAGATTCCGCTACATACATACCTACATACTTAAAACAAACGTATGTCTCTGAGATCACCGAACAAACGTTCACACACCGGTGTTGGTTGCATGTGTATGTATGAGGGAGATGGAGATATATAAAAGGATACTGGTAGTGTTTGACCCGCCAAGAACGGTGACTACAACTATATCAAACCGACTAAAAATGGTAAGAGATAGTAGTAGTAGTAGTAGTAGTAGTATACGTTTATTTTTTCCCCAAAATACAATGTGTTAATAAATACAAATGCTAACTTCAGTACAATAATGAACGTAAAATAAAACATAATACCTGACTTTCACAAAATAATCTTAAATGAACATGGTTTATAAGTCACAGAAAATTTTTAAATTATCTTGTAAAGCCCATTAAAATCAAAATAGTTGGTTGTGCACGGGCAGATTTTTTTTATATAATTTTGGTAATAAATTTTGCTTAGAGCAGGATTTTATACAACAAGCACATTGTAAGTATGGAAGGTAACGAGGAGTAGCACTTATATAATAAAGTTTATTCCACTAACTACAGAAGTATGGAAGGTGGGTGGAGTAATACTAGCGTAGTACGAGTTCTAGTAAATAATTTCTACTAGATTTTGTGTCTCTTGTCTACCAATTAAAAAAATATATTTCTTAAATAAAGATTTTGTCAAAGACAATGAGTTTATTTTACCAACTTACATACGGTACAAGTATGGCAAACAATTATAAATTTTACATGATACAGGTAGGTAGGTGTGGCATCGCAAGCTTACATTTCTTTGAAAAGTTTGTATTTTTAAGTTTTCATTTTCATTATATCTAGTACTATAAGCATGGCTAGTTTTATTGAAGCTGTTGTTGTGTTTGTATATGAATTGAATTAATTCATGCAGAAACAGTTACCTTAGGTCACACACTCCAGTCTCTGAAAATAGTTTATCAGAAGGATAAGTAATTTTTTTGCCAGATATTACTTACAACATTCTTTTTTGCAGTATGTCCAGAGGCCGCAAATGACAATATGCGGTACTTCCCCAACTCAAAATAGCGAATCGTAGACGTGATTCATCTAATGAATAATACAACATTTTCAGGTGCATGTAGTCTATGAGATTTTTTAAGTATTTAAAGCGATATAAGAGTTGTGAGGTATTTGTAATATTAGCTATATGAACATCCCATTTCAAGTGGCGATCAATGGTGACACCTAAGTATTTATAGGTTCTCACAGATGTTAAAGATATACTTTGATTTATTAAAAGTTGTGCATACTGAGGTAGACAACGTACTGTATTATAAAAAGGCATAGAGAATGTTTTTTCATAGCTTACGGTTAAAAGTTTATGAGCAAAATAATCAAAAATAGTTCCTAGATCCCGCTCTGCTTTCATTTTTACATTTTGTTGTGATCATCATACAGGACTATCGTATCATTTACAAAGCTAAACACTTGACCAACTGACGAAGAAGTTAGAATGGTGTTTATGTAACTTGTAAACAAGATTGGACCCAACCCAGTACCCTGAGGTAAACCGTAATCTACTGTCGTTTCGTTACTGAATGTGTCACTAATCTTCACTACTTGTTTTCGACTTGAGAGATAGCTTGTGAACAACTGTAAAGCATAACTTTATCTGCAATGAGGTAACCACATTTTTTTCAGCTGGTTTTGAGGATTTACTGCAATTGGATTTATTGGTGTGAACATTTTGTGACAGTAGACGTAAGGTACTGGCGAAAATCAAAATTCGAAATGTTGTTGACTGATATAATTATTCACATAGTTCTCTGAAGAGAAAGGAAAGACTGAAGTCATGTGAAATGTATTGCCTAACGTTGCAAGCAAAAACTATATTTATCTAAATGCTGGTTATCAGGACGTAGGTATTTTGTAGTTGGGGGGTATTAGTTGCTTCTGGGAGTCTCACAAAATGTTACTGGTAACTTGACGTTCGGGCAGAGTATTGCCGAATCTGGTATGCGAAATATTCCCACATGTGACAATGGAATTTCATTTTTGTGATTCTTGTCATCGTTTATCAGTGTGCCGCCACTTTTGTTACTTTATTTGATTTTGAGACGGGTGCTGGAAAAAAGTGGTCAATAACAAACAAAGTGCGTATTTTCAAGCAACCCGTACCTCTACTTTGTCGACTGCTGCTTAGTCGTACGGTGAAATGATGTCGACCCGGTTATTTTAATCATAAAATATACTAAGTATATACTAGTAGTAGATTACTAGTAATATTAAAAAATGCACCAGTGATTATAACGTGGCCAACAATCCAAAGACGTCCACGTCAATTTTATTTACCTTTCATCATTACTATTTACTGAGGAGTGAGAAATGTTTACTTCTGCCAAGAAGAATTCGGTAAGTAACATCGAATGGAACACCCAGAGTATAGTTTTTGGTGGCAAGACGTACATTGACATTCCGTGAAACCAAATCTTTAGGAACTGCCGCCCTGTACGGAGGCCTTATAGGTTCCTGCGGGATCTTAAAACACACAACGTACCACTACTAAAAGGACGCCGCAGCTTGCACCAACGTAAAAGCATTAAATACAACTATGTATTTGGAAGCTTTATTTGCTTTGGAGTCTGACCTGGAAAAACATGTTTTCTTTAGTGCGAAGTGAGTCAACCTGTACGTCGGACGACCTTCTTGGTTAGGAGGCTACAGGTTTTTATCCTAGTTTTGCCATACAGTATCACGAAATACAACATCTATTTTGTTTGAAAATGCGGGAAAATATCGATAATGACTGAATGCGGAGTCTTTAAGAAAAATGTATTATATAAAATAATTTCAAAAAGGTCATTTTGTTGCAGGTATTGAAAGATCCTATCGATCTGATGACACAGAAGAAGCTGTGACGACAGACAACCCAACCACTCCTTTTCCAACGCCACCTCCTACCCTTATGTCTCCAAGATCTCCCATTCCTTTACATAGACAAGCCTCACCGTTTCCGCTGGAGAACACCAATGCGAGAAGGATGCATTTCCAGAGTACTCAAGACAGGATGAGGGGTAGCAATGGTAAGTCCTTGAGCGTAAAGTGAACTGATTAATTAAATGAGTTTTGAGTATAGGGGTTTAAATCCTGGTCCGTAACGTATACACGTCATACAGGGTCGTCAAGTTTTAGTATGATCATGCAGAGAAGCTGTTTTTGTTTTTTTAAACGAAAACCTTGCATCGAATTAAGAATGGTCAAATCATCAAGTTTGTTAAGAAATGATTGAGTATTTAAAAAATATCTTTTACTGGATTGAAAATGACCAAAACAAATATAGTACATTAAGACATGTCTCATAATACATACCTCATATATGCTAAATTACATTCAATTCTTCAAAGCGTCGTATACAGATATTGATAATGAATGGATTATTTTGAAAACTTTGCCATCCTGTATATCATATGGAGTTTTTTCTTGGAATGGACCCACAAGTCGCTTCCTCAAATACACGAAAATCTTAAGTCGGTGGAAAGAAAAATTGCTCTAGACTGAACGAAAATGGTAGTAATAGTTGCGATAAATAACAGTGGAATACCATATCTTCCCTAAAAATCGTTTAGCTTAAATCCAAAACATCACTACGATGTCTCTCAAAATGTGAGTCGTTTGAAGCAAATGCTGGTATGGACCTTTTTTTTGTTGTACATAATTAATTTTCTACCTTCTCACAAATCAATCCAAAAAATAGGTATTAGAGGTGGTTTGGACAAAATGACTGCAAAAGGGAATATGCGATATTCGTTTCTGTGACTCCTTCATAGGTAGTATTTGAGACGTTTGTACCCATGCTGTCGTGCGTGTTACAGATTGACTAATCACCAGAAGACCAACTAGTTCGATTCAGCTACTGGCCTTTTATTTTGAGTTCTTGTTCTTATTATTAGTCTTTTCATTACCCAGGACACTTTTCTTCCGTCAATAGTTCCCTTGCATCAAATACCCTGAATGATCAGGTGTATCAGCATATATTTGTCTTTGTCAGCTAAAATGTGTCCTAATTTGACAAACTGAACACTGATGTGTTTCCTCATTCTTATCAAGTCTTTTGAGTACTATTGAGTTACTAACCGTATCGACTCAGCGCCCTAAGGTACACATTTTTAAGGACTCTAGCATTTTCATACATAGCGCATCTGAAGTACACACTTCTACTCTATACAACTTTACAATTTTATTATATTTTTTTATAACTGCCACTGAACTTTAGAATTTCTAATATTTTATGTCGATATAACAAAAACATAATTTTTATTTGTAACTGTTACAATTTTCATGTATTTCATGCTGGTATAACCGCATAAGAGCTTAGATATAATTTTTTGTAGTAACTGTACCTGAACTATACAACTTCAAATGTTTCATACGGGTACAAACAATATAACAATTTTAACATTTTTTTCCGTAACTGGAACTGAATTTTACAATTTTTATATATTTCGTGGGGGTATAACAATTTAATTAACACAAGTTACTGAAACATTGATTACACCAAGTGAGTAATAAAAAAGTAGATGGTTACCTTGCCCAGTGATATGAAAATAACTGGAACGATGGGTTATCTACTTATTTGAACAAATTAAACTTGAATGACATTTAGAGTTACACAGAATACCAGCCTCTTTACAAAGACACTTTCTACTTCCACACTTGATTTTACAGTGGCATCTTTTATAGCCTTGTCCACCAGATGAAAATTGGGCATTGGCTATTTGGCACAGTGATTTGATTTCGGGCGAAACAGTCTCAGCGTCTAAAAATTTTGATTCGCACGTGCTGAATTGATTCCCAGAAAAAAATGTAGAGTTCAGTTACAGCTATGAAGAAATGTTGTTACTGGAATAAGTTTTCTAGTTATTGCGGTTACTTACCTGTGATGACAATGCCAAGGTATGGCTAAGTTATGTCTAAGAGATTTATTGCTGAAATAAGTAAGATATGCAAATGACGACATTCTATTTTCTTTAAAAATACCCGACTAAACCTGCTTGTAATATTTACATCTATGTAGTTTTAACCAAGGATTGGCTAGACTAAGATATAGCTGAGATCAAGTTGGTTGCACCTAGGTTTAACCCAATTCAACCGGCTAATACTAGGCCTGGCCATGAATGTATAGGTTACACCTAAGACTAACCAACCGTCAGTGGCTACACGTAGTTCTAACCGACTAAACCTTCTTGTCACCCCATTTCGGGTTTAGCCGTAACATAGAAGCACCGAGAATAGCAATTGGGCATCCGTGGTCTAATATTTAAACTAAGACACCAGCTACACAGCATATGCTTTATGCTGTTGGGTGTATTCTAGGATTTTTCTGTTCTGTTCTGATCCTACCTTCCTTTGTAACGAAATCCGGGAGACGTAATTTTCAAAGCGTGCAGCTTTCTGGAATTAAAATACCCGCCCAGAGTTCACTGAAGGGCATGCACCAAGAAACATGCATAAGCAATATAAATGAATACGATACTACATTACAAAGATTATTTTATTTTTAGAGTCCTCTTGTATAATAATAGCATTCTAGTACGTAATAACACGCACCGTTACGTGCAAATAGGCAGAAAAGTTTGTAACTTCAAGTTGGTTGTGAGTTATACATACATTTTGCAAGGCATTCTTTCTCGCGTGCTTTCGAATGAAATTCCAATGCATTCCACTCTATTTGTAGAAGCAGAGATTTGCATTTAGTATGCGCACATAACCATTACTACCCGAAAGTTTTCAGCCGACGTAAACAGTTCTATGGGCGAATGTACCCTCCATCTATTTCTCTTCTCTCTGTTTATTGCTCAGTACGTCTGCTTTTATGTACCACGGGTAAACCAGAAAGGTATTTTGAAAGCAGACGCCGTTGTTAGTGTGCCTTCTTCAGTCTGACCAACATAATAAAATAGAGCAAGAGCCCGCGACGACCAGACGTTCGTTATTTTATAAAACCTGAAAGTATCTCTGTGCCTGTGTCCCCAACACAGGTAAGGACGATCAGCGACTGTGAATTTGGATATTGAATAACAAATTGAATGAAATAGTACCTGTACCCAGTTTTTTATAATTTCTTCAGAATGATTTTAGAAATCATTTCATCTATATATCTACTTAAGTAGTAGTAAACAAGCAAACGATATCGTCCTACCTTGTCAAGAAAGTGGTTGGTACACAGTCCGTGAAATAACCTTTCGGCGAAGAGTTTCCATTTATAAGGATAAAATACGGGTCTGGATACATTGGTGAAGCGGATTTTACAATTTTCAGACGTTTTCGGCCATATTTATATAACCTCGGAGTGACATAAAATTGACAAGTTGACTGTTCTTCCTGATTCATACTACATAAGAAATTACTATACAGAGTGTCATGACCCGCAAAAAGAAGAAGGAAGAAGAAGAACAACAAGAAAAGCCTGAGAATGAAAAAAACTGCATCACAGATGAAGAAAATCGACCTGATTCGACTAATGTAAAAAATATATTAGAAGAGAATCGATCCCTGAAGAAAGCAGTAGCAGAAAAGGAGGAAATAATTCGTCAGCCCAATAACAAAAATTTGAAACTAAAAGAGCAGCAGCTGTCAGTAAGCGTAAATATTACTGAGAAGGATGCCATAGCATCAGCATTAAATAGAATTAACATGAGACTCGCCGAAGTTGAGAAAAACCAGTTAGTAAAAGAAAATTCATACGCACAAATCTTAAAACAAACGATACCTATTACTAAAAGGCAATCGTTGAAATGCATCACAGTTATTCCAAAAGAAAAACAATCTTGCGATAATACGAGAAGAGAATTGAGTAAGAGAATAAATCTTTCATCTCCGAACATTCAAATGGAAAGTGTGAGAAACTCAAAAAATGGCGGAATTGATATAAAAACTGATGAATCAAATCATAATAAACTGAAAGATGAACTTCAAAATAAATTGAATGAAAAATACCAAGATACTGAGCCAAAACTGTTAAATCCAAAAATTAAAGTAATAAATTATAAAACTTAGTGAGAAACCGAATGAAAAGCAAATTGAAGAAGATCTTATACATCAGAATTATATGATTCAGAGTGGAGACATACAAGTAAAGTTTATAAAATATTTTCTATCAAGAAACAATTACACTATCTACGCGGAAACTTCTGGAAAGCTATTCAAAAAAATAGAGGAATACTTCTGGGGTGGCAATGTTTGACAGTATATCAAGATAACGAATTTCTCAGTGTAGAAAATGGTACCGTTTTAATCATACAGAAAAGAATTGCAGGAATGAGAAGATATGTGCCAACTGTGGCAACGGTCACGAAGGAGAAAATTTTAAGCATTTATCAATAGAATGCTGCAACTGTAGATATGGAAATGAAAGATATAAAAAAAAATATAATATTAACCACTCACCTACCGACAAAAACTGTCCATCGTACAAATATTATCAGGAACAACAAAACTTAAGGATACTTTTTTAAAATTCAAGTTCATCTTTTGATATTCCTAGCTCTAAAGAGGACCTAAAAATGTCAGTAAATAAATACATTAATGATTTCCAAATTTCAAGTATTACAACAAATATAGCACAAAACGTTGATGAACTTAATTTATATACACAAAATTCTGATGCAAAATTTCGAATTTCTAATATGAACATAAGGAGTATAAAACACAACATTGATTACTTAAAAATACTACTCGACCAAATATGGTACAATTTTGATCTAATAGTTTTAACTGGAACGCGGCAAGTGGTTGATATTTTTTGCTTCAATCAGCAGGGATATGACACGCTGTATAACTTTGGCACTTATAACCAAAACGATGGGGTGATAGTTTTTGTAAGAAATGAACTGCAATATAATCAAGATACATTCACTTTCACCGATGGAATCAAAATTTTAAACATAATGATTCAAATTAACCATAACAAAATTTAGGTATCTGCAATTTATCGTCCGCCATGTTCAGAACCCCACGAGTTTTTAAAGAATATCGATTTTTTTTTCAAAATCAAAATAAAGTTCATTTAAAGCAACATATTTTCTAGGGAGATGTCAATATAAATATTTTGGACTATGATCCCATCACAAATGAATACTTGAATATCCTATCAAGTAACGGATTTCTGTCCTATATAAACCTACCTACAAGGTCCATCAGTGGTACATGTATAGATCACTGCTTTGTGAAAGACCTATCCAACAAAATTACTTGTATACCAATAATCCTAGAAAGCGATATTATTGACCACTTCTCCACTATTTTACTGATATCTTCAAATGAAAAACATTTTAACATCCCTACCGTTAATAACAACCAGGAAAATTACAAATTTTTTGTCGACAATTCAAAACTAATATCAAATGTCAAACAAGAATCCTGGGAACAATAATACTCTATAAATAATATAGACAAAGCAACGGGACTGTTCTTAGAGAAAATAAAAAAACTAATAGATATTAGTACCAATAAAGTAATAATTAGTCACAAAGAGAAAAGCAGAAATGCCTGGATTACCAAAGGATTAATAACATCGGCAATAGAAAAAGAAAGACTATATAATGTAATGAAACTAACGCCAACTATAGAGAATACCGACTGCTACAACCAATATAAAAATAAATTTATAGAGCTTGCAAGGCAAACCAAACGAAAACATTACCTAAATAAATTGAATAATAACTTAAATGATCCTAAGCGGCTTTGGACAACTATTGATGAGATTACTGGGAAATCAAAATTTAAAGAGTCTGTCACTGAGTTAAATACAACATCGGGAGCAGTATTAAAAAATACTCAACAGATATGCGATGAATTTGTACAATTCTTTACTGACATAGGCGAGAATTTAGCAAGTAATATAAAGCAAATGCACAAAATACTCAGCCTCCAGAAAGAACTGATTTATTTTGGATAAAGTCGAGCAATGTGAAGTATACACCACGGTTATGTCCTTAAAAAATCGGAAAAGTCCTGGGTTCGATGGTATTAAAAGCGAGCATTTGAAAATTATAGCCGAGGACATAACAGAACCACTCACTTACCTAATCAACAAATGCTTTGAATCTGGCATATATCCCTCAATTTTAAAAAAAGGTAATATAATACCGATACATAAATCAGGAACAAAAACAGATGTTAACAACTATAGACCAATATCAATAATATCCAGTGTACCAAAAATTTTTGAAAAAGTTTTATCTACTAGAATGATTCCATACCTCACAAAATTCAAAATTTTAAGTGAAAATCAATATGGATTTACAGAAGGGAAGCCTACATCGGACGCAATAACTAAAATTGTAAATCAAATACATCAAAATATTGATAACAGAATCCCTTCAATCTGCGTTTTTGTTGATTTAAAGAAAGCTTTCGACACAGTTAATCACAAATTATTATTAGAAGGACTGGAGAGAAGTGGTATCAGAGGAAACTCGTACTCACTGATCGAAAATTATTTGTCAAATCGCCCACAATCTGTGCAGATATCAGAATCATTTAGTAAAGAAATGTATATTAAGTGTGGTGTCCCACAAGGAACTGTCTTAGGTCCGCTGTTATTCAATATATATTTAAATGATATTTTCCAAATTAATTGTGTTGGCAAAATAACTAGTTTTGCAGATGATACTGCAATATTATATGAAGGCACTGACTGGTCTGATCTGAAAAATGTAATTGAAAATGATTTTATCAAAATTATTCGGTGGTTTAACAGTAGAAAATTAAGCATTAACTACTCTAAAACACATTTTTTACCATTTGGATCTTATGCTAGATATCTGCCAAATTACACAAATTTCTCCTTCAACATTAATGATCAAAAAATGCAAATTAATAGAGTCCCCAACATAAAATACCTTGGAGTGGTCTTGGATCCCCACTTACGATGGGACATCCATGTCAATTATATTTTAAAGAAAGTTAGATTTGTATCCTACAAAATTAAATACCTTGGGAATATATTGACAGAAAAATATCTTCGAAGATTATACCATGCACTGATTGAGCCTCATCTCACATATGGTATATTAGCATGGGGAGCTGCATGTTCCTCACATATCTATAATTTAGATGTTTTTCAAAAAAGTATTCTAAAAATGATATTTAAAACACCGAAACTTTATCCCACTGAAAAATTATACGCAGATGTTCGAATGTATGATATAAGACAGCTTTATTTCTTACACAGTATCACTCACTACCATAAATTTGTAAACACCGACCAAAAAATTAAACATAATCATTATACCAGGTACAAAATTCGTGGCACAGTAGTTCCTCAACCGCATAAATCTATCTCATATCTCTATTTAGCGCCTAAATTTTATGAAATTATACCTAAAGACTTAAAAGATTTACGTTTCGGAAATTGTTTCAAAATAAATTTAAAAAAGTGGCTACATTCTATATCTAGGACTGAAATTCATAAACTCATAAATACGAACATCAACTAAACATAATCTACTGCAGCTAATTTTTGTCCTTTTTTGTCATTTGCATTCTACAGTTTCAACTTAAATTATTGGTCCATGTACAGGTGATGCCTTCTATTGGGCTTGTTTTGATTTTATATTTATTTACTCATATTGTTTGTTATCTTTGTACATTGAGTGAATAAATGTTATTATTATACTATATTGCCAGACACTTAGTACAGCGATGAAAAACATTAAAATATGTTCTTTACCCAAAAAGTACCTTCCATATTCTACCGACTCATATCATGCGCAACTCTACTGACTATTCAATATGTTAATTAACTGTCTTGATACTGATTGTTAAATAATATAATAATGGCAATCACATTTCACAACTGTATTATCAGAAATTAAAACACATTGCATGGGGGAATCGTAGCATCCTACCACATGAAAGTCACATCCATATAGCTTCGTACCGCATGGAAGTCACGCCTGATATGGAAATAGCTTACACTTGGGGAACGCCCGCTGTGGGTGCCATAATAATCTGGTGCTTAGACGGATATGACAAGTTCATTGATTGTTGCCAAAAGCAGTCCAGAAACCAGGATGTCACTTTGCCATGTCAAAACCCAAAAGCTCTGACGTTACCTCTGATTTAGGGATAACTGAGCAGCATGGCAACTTTAAAGTAACAATCCCTGTCCTGCCATGAGATACATATTTTCAGACTCCAGCGATTGCATCGAGAAGCTAAGCGGTCACTCGGGCCTAGGGTATCATGTCGTTATGCCAATATCCAACACGTTCAGACATTTACCCTAACACAGGAAACGGAGATGTAATTATCCCCCTAGCAACCTGGCTCTGTAAGTCTCATAACAGCCTCCAGGAGTTGGAGACGTCATACCTCTGTAGATGTTTGGCTTTATCTCAACTATTGATAATCATATCTCATCTGACTATTTTTGACTTGTTCTAACTATAATCGTGGCTATAAGGGTACCTTCGTTAGAAAATACAGATGACATGCAGTACAGCAAAACAATAAAACGTACTCAGTGAAAATCATCACCGTTCCTTTGATCAAACCTTGATCTCACTTGAACCTTTCAACAATATTAGAATGAACTAAGAGGTCCTGTGCCTTAGCGTGCCCTTGTTTTCACGAATAAGCGTGAACCTTACCAGGATCGCTGAAATGTGTATGCCAGCAATGCTTTTCTCAACATGCCAAGTGGTAAATGAACCTTATGCATGCAGAAGAGTGTCTTTTAATATTGTATATGCTCACACTGAGAACATTGCAGTGGCTCTTCTACCATGATTTCTCCACATTTGTTCACATATTCCTCAGATGTGGTATTTTTACATCTTCCCAATGATAACTTAGGTCTAGTTCTTGATGTGGGTTGTTGGCATTGTTACAGGAGAAGCGATCTACTCTCAAAGTACCAAGAAAAACGTGTCGAACAGTACTCTGGGTAGGTCAGGGAGAAATAGACATCGAATGGGAGGAATGACGTCAAGCAGTAGTGCCACGAGCTGCAACAGCTGTTCAGACAATATGATGGTTCCCAATGGCGATATCAGTTACCATGAGCAAAGTCAACAGCAAAGGATGTGCAGCATCAACAATGGTAAGATTCATTCTTTAAATGCTTTGGAATACATGACAAAAAAAAACGAGAGTTTATTATGAAGCATTCAATAAAAAGTAAAAATTTTGAAGAGTGTTGTACTCCCGGATGCAAAGCATCAAATCAGTCTAATCACAATCCATCAAAAATTGATTCGGTCGCCTATAATGGTACGCAGACTGTAACTTCTCACAGATGTTTGTCTTTAATTCAGCATTAGAAAACCAGCTCGATGCTTAAAGTTGGTTCATGGCCATATTAAGACGAATTCTACTTCGTATGCTTACCTCAAAGCTTGCGTGAGGATGTTTGTGGAAAATGCAGCCGCGCGTATGACTATAATGAATAGTGGGCTACAAAAAGCTATTAGATCTCATTAATGGTATATTGTCTAACTACAGTTCAAACCGCTTTCAATAATCATCATGACTGCCTCTAACCAATATTATACTATCTGCGTGTTGTTAGGTGATGATTCCATGCGTGTTTATGATGTTATATGTCTCTTGAAACCTTGCATGCTGACTCATATACCCTGTCATGTCAATAATATCAATCAGAGTGCAACAAGAATGCTTAGTTTGTGAATTCCTTCCCTTCTTTTGGATTAAGCTCGCGTTTTCAGTAACTAAGAGGTAACGCGTTTTGAACTTTAATAGTTATTTCTTCTTTTCTTGTTTTAGAAATAAGTGCGTCAGATAGTGTTATTATTTCTCCATGTAAGTGAATCAGTGTCGGAGTAGCTTAACAAGGTGACATCTTTTTTTAGATCTCCGCACAAAATTCCAACCAGATGAAATTTGAGTGTGGGCACAATTTTCTAGATGGACTAAAGTTCTATGCATTTCCAATATCACTTTGGAGTTCTAAAGAATACTCGAAGAGGATCTATAACTTTTTTATTTTTACACATTTTTAACTACCTGGGTGGAGGTGTTGATTGAAAGATTTGTACTTGATACATTTTTATGTTTCCATCATATTGCGCGGTAGGCATTTTAACACTATGGTATACGATTCGGCACCAGCCTTAATTTTATTGGTCAATTTCAATTTATTTAACCAATAACAAGCTGGGTGCCGAAATCACTACCGGAATGTTAAACAGTGCTGAAAACAGTGTCAGAATGTTATCAATAAACTGCTTCTACTAATATATATATATATATATAATAAATATAACTTGAGACGTGGTCATTGTCGTCTAGACCAGTTAGGTGAAAAATTAAAGCTTCCGCCTTTTGTTGGGTACTTCGACAAAATTTAAGCAAGGAGGACTCTTTATACTTTTTTTATTTTCTCTAGCTTTCAATGGTCTTTGCCATCATCATCAGGAGAATAGTATGTGAGGATGCTGTTAATTGTTGTCTACGTTAAGGATGAGGGAAACACCCAGTAACATGGTGAAAGCTGGATAAATGGTACAATGATCAAAATTATATAAAATACACACAGCTGTATGACAAGAACAAGTTAAAAACAGATTAAAAATTTTTTAATAAAATTGAAAGTTAAATAATAGATCGTGAAGCCACTTGATGCACACCATTTTGTGTACCCAAGTACCCAACAAAAGGCGGAAGCTTTAATTTTTCACCTATATACGTATACATATATATAAATTTTTCATGTAATTTTTCTTATTGCTAAACCAAATTATTAATTTTAAAATCATTAAATATCGTAATAGGAAACAACGTGCGTTGATTATTATCTTACGTATTTTTAGCGGAAGGTAAGTAAATTTAAATTTAAATTGATAACATTCTGACCCCATGCTCAGCACTGTTTAGCATTCCGGTAGTGATTTCGGCACCCGGCTTGTTATTGGTTGAATAAATTGAAATTGACCAATAAAATTAAGGCTGGTGCCGAATCCTATACCATAGTGTTAAAATGCGCGCGGTAGTGGTGATCGATGAAGTTCACACATAAATATTAAAATACCTATGTCCTTTCCCTTTTGTGAATAAGTGAGCCTGTGCTGAAGAGTGAGTAGCAGAAAATAGTGGTTAAGTAACCCGATAAATGTAATAATTTGACCTTCCTGAATCAAGTTCTGAAGCAGAGCCCATTTATAAGTCAGGAATAGTAACTAAATACACTTGAAAGTAATAGGTCGAGCTATTCCCGCAATAAACCCAATTTCCGCGAAACAGTCACTTCAACCGTCAAGACTACTTCACCGCCTTTCCATTAATTCCTGCTCCGTCAGAATTATAGGAAAATTAATTAAATCGAAGCGATTCGACCTGCTGATGCTCGTCGAGCCGGTTCAATTTGAAAAATCTCTAGAAAATTAGTCAACTTGAAGGAAATTCTACTACGCGCTATGCGAGCTCTAGTCGAGACGAAAACCTCGCAATCGTGGTAAAGTCTTTTAACTAGATTTTTTTTTAAAATCACCTGTCTTGGATGTCCCTTAACATGCATCAAGAGGTGGCTCTGCCATAACCCGGTGAAAAGTTTGAACATATTTTTAAACAAATTACATATAATTTTTTTTTCGCTTCGGGAGTTTGAGAGGGATCCTTGATCATTCTGAGGAATGAAGATCCGTGGCAACTTCCATCTGAGGCTTAGCGATTTCGAGATATGAGCGATATAACAGCTTGAGAATTTCTAAAAATGATCACTCGTCCTCAGCTGTCAATAAATTTTACTTGTTAACCATAGCGAAATACCTTTGTGATGACAATTTCAAAAAAATCAATGACTTTCTAAAAATTGTTAAATAATAAAATATGGTTAAGAACAAGAGTTACAATTGTTAGGATATTAAAAGAAAACAATAACAGTAACGATAATACCCTACCTGAAATACCTGATGTTCTGATTTCATGATTTAAAATCTTCCTCTGAATAAAATCCTACGGGCAGATCTAGACTGGAAATTATATCTGCACCATGAATGAGCATAAGGTACTCAGAGCAAGACATATGGTACCAATGACACTAGATAATATACTAAAACCAGTTTCAGCATGTAGACATGAGCGACTTAAGTCTCTTATCACTGAAAAATGTTCACAATAACTCCAGATTCATGACCCGACAATGATTTTGCTTACTGTGTCCAATAAACTACTAAAATAGGAGTCTATTGCTGCTCTCACAGCACACGGTACAAGGCTGTCCGTCCGGAGAGAAGAACATTGGCTCTGATACTTTGGGAACTGATAGCAATATTATCGGACTACTTTTTTCCAATTTTTGTACGGTTTTGTTCCTCGCTGGACCGCTGCACGATGCGCATGTCCCTCGAGCGTAAGGAATCTTAGAGGAAATACCCTTCGATGTCTGGTAAAGGGAATTTCTTACTTTAACTCGGATACTTGATAACCTCAGAAATAACATTTTCAATCGATCTTTCAAGCATTGCATATGGTATTTTTTAGGGGTTTTTAGACTTATAGCTAAAAACGGTCAACTTTAGGGAAACGTTACTGGATACAGAATATTTCAGAAAACCTGAAGAAGCTTTTTGTGGAGCAGCAGGAGAAGTGGTGGGAAAACGAAGCATAAGAACTAGGCTACTTTTGATACTTTTTGCCCACCCCGTCGTACTGTTTCATCTACTAATAACTGATTATAAATAAAGCAGCTATAGTGATGCAATGTACCTATGTTGATCTTTCTTTCTGAATATCCACGGCTCGAAACTAACTACCGAGGCGGAGATTCGAACCCGCGAGCCTTTGGGTCGGCCGATTAGCAACTCGATGCACTAACCAGTCGGCTACCCGCCCAAAAGTGATTAAAAAAATTGCACCGACTTTCTGCCCGGCAACCTCTTGATCCATGTTAAAGGGCATCCAACAAATGCGATTATAGAAAAAGAGATGGAAAATTTCTTTCACGAATGTGGGGTTTTCGCCTTGGCCGCTTCGTCGCGCTAGCCGCGTAACAAAATTAACCCGACAACTCAAGTTATGTTAATGAATGACGACTGGTAATTGGCTTAAAAGTGGATAGGTGGCGCTAGCAGCGACGGCGCACAGCACAGACATTTGCTAATGCGATTACGTCATTACACTGGCTGCTCCGAAAACGGAAACAACAAGAGTTAGATGTGCCGGCTTTGACATTAACACTTCGCGGTGAAGAGACTAGAGCTTCTGAAATAAGCGCAAGACAATTAGTAGATAGCTTTTTCATTCGTTGATTAGCATATGTCAGCAAGAAGTGAAACATGAAATTTTGTGTGGATTCTGGAGATTTGTCACTTTGCAGGTCTTGCGATAACTGTTTCGTATCTTGTAAATTCAAAGCTACCGATTCCGAATGAACTTATGTAAATAGCTAGTCCGTCACTGACAAACACAATGTTTCCTATAAACACGATCAAATGACGCCTCAACTAAATGCTATGCTATACAAACTTAATTGTTCATACACGATACCGTCATTTCAGGAAAAACGATTTCCATTGGTGTTCTTCAGAGGCCTCTACCTCTGAAACAAAATGGTATTCCAAAAATCGTTGAATAATCAACTGGTCTTAAAGCACCCTAAAGAATCACATTCTGAGAGTTTTAGAAACACCATGTATATTATACACCCTTCCACTCACCTGCCGAGTACATAACAGCGTCGTAACCACAATGGCCTTCTTCAAGTACAGTAAGTAGTAATCAAAATATATGTGGTTTGATTTAGCCACCAGACAATGAAGTCCTTAATAAATGTTGTCTTGCCCTTCCTATAAATTGCGGAAGTTGTATCACTACCACTGAAGCTATGCAGAAGGAGAATTTAAACACAAAATTATTGTTTTTGTAGTTTTTGGGAAGAAAATATACAAGTTTTCACTCTTCCCATTCCCGTCTTGACAAAAAATATTTCTTTGATGTTTAGCCATTCTTGTAAATTTCAGTTGTATCATAATCACTGAAGCCATGATTTAAAGGAATTGAAGGAGAAAGGCAATGTCTTTGAAGCTAATCGGCGAGAAACCATCGTCGCATTACCAGCAAGTGCCAAAACCTGCAGTTTGCCTCGGTTTTCGGCCAGCTTTTTTGCTATTAGTCGGACCTTTATACGTGTAGTCTCATTTTGTAGGACTCATGAATGCCCAAAAAACTTAATCAAAGAGTTTTTTCGTTCCTGCCAACACTTTTGATTGAATCCCAAAAACACGTTTTCTCATTCTTTGTTGTCGAATAAAGAGTTTTTCCACAAAAATTGGTGTACCCATTTTATGCGTCTATGTTTTGTATACCCCCTTGAATAACTTGCAACAATAAAACCAGACTTCACAATTATTTCGCAAACCAGAAGTATTTTTGTCTAATATGATTAGACTATGACAAGAAATATTCCTTGGATAACCATGGGATTACTAAAAGATCAACTGACCTTAATGCGAAGTATGAAAAACTGTGGACTATGTTTCAAGTTTTTTTGAACAAAATTAATAAAACGCATACGGCATGAATACGATTATCAGTAGAACACGGTTTTTTCTGACGCCGATATCAAATCTGGGGTTATTTCGGGTTATTTTGTCTCTATGAGCCCAACCGCATGTCATTTAAGTTTTTCAGCTTAATAAGTCCAAATCAGAAGTCTGTTAGAGTCACTTTGAGGGAATCTAAATATCATTTCAAGGTCACTTCAAGGACTAATTCGAAATAAGTCTAGCATTCAAGAACTGAAACGCGTCACATAAGCTCTTGCGGTAGTTTTGTCAAAATCAGAGAATAATTCGTCTCTAGGAAAGCATTTGATGGGTATTTCAGGTCCAATCAAAGGGTAAACTCAAAAAATTTAGATAACTGTATACGACCACCTGGAACGATATGTCAGTATATAAGGTTATATTTCTCAAAAGTTGATGACACAAAAGCTCTCCAATTTTGCTGTCGTAGTGTCTGATGGTACACCAAAAACTTGAAGTTTAATAGTCTTCCATGGTAAAGGTCGTCTAAATAAAGTACTGATTCCATGCCCAACTTATTACTTAAAGTATCAACTTGTAATACGAAATAATTTTGATTCATTCCCTATACTTTGCTTTTTCAATTTACACCAGATTTATTCTACAAATAGACCACTGAGGGCCATAACCGAAGCAAGGGAAAATTGTTTGCAGTACATCATCTGCTCTCTAATCAGCTTGGGTTTAACAGACATCGAATCAAACTTTTTTGAAATGAAGTACCTATCCCAAAATTGATTTCGCTTCCCTGCTTCTCCAGAAGTATCAGCGAAATATCGCACATATACGTATCAGTACAGGAGTGGGTGGAACCCATCTGATCCAGAAATGTGGGGTTGGACTCAAGGAGTCGACGAGTTCTGCATCCTGCTGAAGCAACAGTGGTTCTTCTGAAAAACGCAGTTACCGAAAAGCGGGAATTAGCTGCATTTGGCATCATAGGATTATGTACTAATGCTGTGCCTGTGGATATAGATAAAAAAAATGACAAATTAATTTTATTAAAATGATTTGATACCTGTTTGAGCCACTTTACTATATTCAGTTGACCTGTCTCCGAAACTCTGTTATGTTCATTATATACATATCTCAGATTTAGAAACAGAGTAATATCATGCAGCACACAATCTTTTTCCGACGAAACCCAGACTTTGTATTAATTTAGGGGTAATGACTTATTGAATATAGCGAATAATAACATTAATCAAATTCTAGCCCAAATTGAAAAGTTTAGTACTAGTCATAATCTAGGTTTGAACCCTTCAAAGACAAACATGTTAGTATTCGCAAATAAAACAAAAAGGAAAGCTTTGAAAAATGACATAAACATTAATTTAAAAGGTAATAAAATGGTTCCCGTGGATCATTCTAAGTTCCTAGGTATTATAATTGATGATAATTTAAAATTTGTTGATCGCGTAAACCATCTAATTTTTCAGTGCGACGCTAATCTCACAGATTTATTTGCATAAATCTGTATGAATCTTTGTTGTTTCCAAAAATATGGTATTGCTTAATGATTTACTCTCTACATAGATAGTTAGATACTATTACAAAAAATCGTATTCAAGATATTATAAATACATTTGCAGGCTTGTACAAATTACGGCACTGCTATGATGATGATCTAATATGTAGAGTTGCTTAGGTTTGCACTTTTCAATTCCTTTGTTCTAGCGTAGGTTATAAGTAAGAGATGCATGTAAACCAAGGTGACCAGTACTCATTCGTCTTCTGTTAAATAAAGTCGCTTTTTTAAAAAGTCGTTCGTTGTTTGCACATTCTTAATTGGCGCTGCGAACAGGATATCGGCGTACCGAATCGATAATCGGCGGTATTGATTCACGAGTATCGCTCAATCGAGACCGAAAAAGTGCAAAAAATCGTCCGGTGTGTTCGGGTACGATTTCAATCGTTTTGACGTCGATCACAAAGAACTTCGAAGGCTACACCGAGCAGGCACATCACCATCGAAGTACCAGGCCGAAATACTTGCTAAGTATTTTGGGAGCAGGCAACGACACTTGAGAAAACGACAGGAACTGACAGGAGCGAGGTGCTGGATCCACGGCAGGCAAGCTGTCAACCAGGAGGAGCTGTATTGGCCCAAGGAGGTATCTCAGATCTCTCCAAATGAAGCTGCTAGTGCCCAGTGTAGCGTAAGAAACAACATTTACAATTTTTGCTGTACTCAGTGATATTTCCATTTATTTCTCGAAACTTTTTCGCCCTCTATTGCTTTACATTTATATATACTCGTAAAAGTTATCTATAAGTAAACTTATTTAGTGACTTTAATTGCATATATTTAATGTCCGATTCTGAATTTGAATCTGTAGTCGAAAATACACCTGTTAGACAAGTTATTTTGACACCCTCACGTCTTAATTTTAATCAGTTAACCATGTCTCTTCAAGATTTACAAATTAAATTCAATGTAGCTAAATATATGGTACCAGAATATCATGGAGGTCACAGAGATCTAATTTATTTTTTGGATAATTCAGAAAAGTTTATTGCAGAATTTGTTAATACACCTTTTGTTTCGTATGCTTTCCAATACGTTATTTCTCAGCTGAAAAGCGAAGTAAGAGATTTAGTGCATCTAACTAGTCCGAGAACCTGGCCAGATTTAAAATCATTATTATTATCCAAATATAAAGATCCTAGAAATGAAGAAACTCTTCTCACCGCCTTATATACGTCAGTTCAGAAACCTAACCAAAAATATGAAGATTTTTATCAAGAAATTAAATTTAAGGTACAGAGCCTGAAAGAATTTGCAAATTTAGAATACCATGATAATCCCGATCATATCGCTTTTAAATTGAGAGACTATGATAGACAGTCTTTGAGCTCCTTTATCTCTGGTTTGAATGAACCATATAGGTCTTATGTAAGACAGCAAAATCCTACTACAATTGATTCTTGTGTTCAATATTGTCGTGATTATGATAATTTGCAAATGCAAGTTGATTATAAAAATTTCTTAAGAACGAGCCTATATAAACGACAACAGCCTCAGTCTCAGAATAAAGTACAAGCTTCAAATCAAAATTTCCAAAGGTCTAATTTTAATTTTTCTCAAAAGCCCAATCAGTTTAGAGCCCAAAATAGTCAAACTTGGCTAGAGCCACAACAAACCTTCCCTACAGGTCCCATGCAACTACCACCACCTAAACAAAATTTTAAACCTCATTACCCTACAAACATTCAAGCTTTCAGACCACCACAGAATGTTTTTTCCAAAAAACCCATTCCAGGTCAACAAAAAAGTAATCCTATACCTATGTCTGTATCTACAGCACGCACACCGAAACCCCAGCAAAACCCATATCGTCAACAAATGCCCACTAGAGTTAATGCCTTTCAAGTAGGTCCCAAACCAAACCATTATTATGTCGAAGAAATTACTCATCTTGAAAATGAGGAAGAACAAACTTTTGCAGGAACGCCACAATATGAATCTGAGGAATATACCCAAGATTTCGATTCAGACTATATCCCCGATGAATCTTATTTTGAAAACAATGACGAAGAAAATTTTCCTTCGACGAGCCAGTCTCAAAATTTGACTTAGATATAAATAATTATCAAAAAACCCACCTTCCGTATATTTTTTGTTCTCAGTTTAATCTTATCATCTTAATCGATACTGGTGCATCATCCTCCCTGATCAATCCAGAAATTGCTTTTAAATATTTTCCAGATCGTATTTATGATCATCCTTTTGAAATTAATTCATGTACGTCCAATTTTAGAGGTCAATATGCCTGTAAAATTCCCATATTTTCTGAATGGAAGAATAAAACTGAAATTGAATTTTTAATTCTTCCTTGGCATTCACGTTATGACTGCTTATTAGGATTCTATGATTTACAAAAGCTTAATTGCTCTATTGATTTGACTAAACATCAGATTATTACTGATAAATGTAAAATTACTTATAACACTTCCTTTAAGCCAATTCGAGAAAACAATCCAGTTCAGTATAGTTACCCGAAAAAATCATTAATTATCCGAAATTTGGATAATGGTTCTGTTGTTATTCCACCTTTGAAATTCAAAAATTCTGACGAATATTTTCCTGAATGTATTTGTAACGTAGAAAATAATGCTATTCAATATCCAATTGATATAAATCTTCTTGATATTTCCAACCCATTTTTATCTGAACCTCTTGATGATTTTCTAATTGAAAAAGAATCTCCATTTTCCACTGAAAAATCCAATATACGTGTTGAAAATTTAATTCGTACGTCTCATATGAATAGTGAAGAAAAAGAAAAGATTATTAAGCTCTGCAAGCAATTCAAACAGGTATTTTTCAAGCCTAACGAACCATTAACTCCCTGTAATGCCACTGCACACAAAATTAGGTTAAAAAATGAAGACCCAATTTATGTAAAAAATTATCGATATCCTTATCATCTCAAAAAGGAAATCCAAAATCAAGTTTCCAAGTTATTGAATGATGGAATCATTCGACAAAGCAATTCACCCTATCAATCACCCTGCTGGATAGTTCCTAAGAAAATGGATGCATCCGGTGTTAAAAAATATAGGATGGTTATTGATTTCAGAAAACTGAATGAAATAACAATTGAAGATAAATTTCCACTCCCACTAATTGAAGAAATTTTGGAAAATTTAGGCAAAAGCATGTATTTTTCTACTATTGATTTGGCACAA